TGCCAAAAAGCAAGCTGATTTCATAAATTATGTTTGTTTGGTTGTGTTTAATTATTCCAACTACTATTAAACTATACGTCAGCCCGGAACAGCAGTTTCTACCATGTTGCCACAATCACCCCAATTTCATATTAATGTTTAAAAACTGCCTACTTTGAGTTGTTCATTGGCCGGCGACACAAATCTGTTAGAAGTTCGACTCTTTTACGTTATCACCGTAACAAGTAATATTATTTGCATTTACAAATTAAATATTTATACATGTAAAATAGAATGTATAAATAAAATATTTAATTTAACAATATATTGGTAAAAATTTTAACATTTTAAAACCTCTGCTCCAAGCTGCTTTATATCTTTATTATACTAATTATTCCCAGTTCCCACATCTCATATTACGGCAAAGATTACCATGTGACTAAGCAGATAACACTAATAAAATTTTAAATTGCGTACAGGGCCATCGCAGAATTGAAATTAATTGCATTAATGTTTTTAACGCTGTGAAAAATATGTTTAACTACCACGGACTTATTCAACACACTTAAAATATTATTTTATATAATTATATTTATTGTTATAATACCTTATTGTAGCAAATTACAATAAGGTTTTAGTATTATAGGTAAATTTTCCCTACATCCTTTAGAAGTAGGTATGTATGTATTAGTTTATTTATGCCCGTAAAATCTCAGTAACATACAGTTCGTACGGATAAAGAATGGAATTAAGAATGGGATTAGGAATGGCGCCTCATCGGCCCTATACCTACCAATAATAAAGAATAAAAAATAATAAATAAAAAATAAAGCCGATAACAAATAAGTTATAAAGGTATAATACGGAAACTATTTGAAAATAATTGTATACGCATTTTAGATACATTAATTTTAAAATAACATTTATAACTAGCGACCCGCTCTTGCTTCGCCCGGGATCTATTAAGGGCCTATGCTACCTGAAATGGCTTAGCAAGATCCTCCGTTTGCCGAAAATATTGCAGCATTAATTTTGAAATAAATATATGGTAAAGCTGAGGATTAATGTTAAATACTATGTTAGACGAAAACACGATTCCGTAAAAAATTCTCGATAGAAAAAAAATCCAAAGTTACCTCCAAACTGTATAATAAACCGCTGGTATTCATAGAATACTTTAAATTAGATCACGAAACTTTGCATACTAACTGAACTAACTATAAAGGTGGGCTTATGTTGTTTATTTTTTTTAATTACCATTATTTTCACTGTAAAAGAAATTATCTAAACTATCGGCGTCCTGAACCGTGTTCCCTGACACCTGATTAGTCTCGCTTTGGCTTTCGAATGGGAAAGCTGTGTCTCTTACGATCAGAATACACATTACGCAACAGGACAACGTAAAATTAAAATGGGAAATAACCGTAATAAAAATAAGAAGCGACTGGGTTAGCGTAAAGAAACAGGCATAAATATGATAAACCTAATGAAATAAGTATCTAACGACCTATCTACTTACAGTATTAGCGATTACAAATATGTCGGTACATAGCATATGACGCCCGGGGAAGTGGGGGCGAAATTAGAATTTGAGCTGAGGTAGACCCTATTTAGACTTAAGATGATAATATTTCTATTTTAGTAAATCTTTGAAAACTTTCGGATAAAAATGTGGTATCTCCTGGTATTACTCCCTGTTTGTTCGTGAAGTTTTATTACAATCGGTTCAACCATTTCGAAAATTATCTCGGACAGACAGACGAAAAGTTTAAAAACATTCATGTTCCAATAGCATGTAAACACTTTATACAAAAATATTAACAAACAAAATTAACAATAATTATGAAGAAAACTCTCAGAACGCGTCGTAGCTCACAAATTGGCGAAACCAGACGGACTTTTTTTTGTAGTTCATTTTGTTATCAATGATGAAGTTATAGAATGTATGAAAAATGCATATCGCAAGGAGTCTGGGGTTACCTGTTGCCTGTGCGAATTCAGCTTGCCGTTTTTATACTTATTTCCGGTTGTTGTTCAAATTAGCGTTGGTAATTTAAGTACTACATTAAGTAAACGAATAAAACTTAAGACAAAAAATAAAATAAGATCCAAAAGAACCATTTAAAATTTAGGTTAGAGATAGCTATTTTGATTTATCTCTACTTGACTCGACATAATATAATGCACTGACAACATATTATAATGCACGCGCCCTGAGGACTGAAGAGAATATCTTGTAGCTGGAAAAAGAGGTAGACAAGTTGCGCTGGAATATTATAGGATTATCCGAGGTCCGAAAAAGGTTGGAAGGACAAGGTAATCCTCGAATCCGGCAACTTGCTCTATCACCGGGATGGCGTCCAACTGTCCCAAAAAAAGTGTCGGATTTATCGCCCACAAGTCTCTCATTAACAATGTTGTAAAGGTTGGAAATGTGTCGACGAGGGTTGCGTAACTTATACTCAGAATCTCCAAACGGTATTCGCTGAAGGTCATACAGGTTTACGCACCAACCATGGCACATTACGACAAGAAGGTGGAGGAAATGTATGAGGATGTCTCCAAGCCAACTGTGGAAGCTGAAGACCGAATGTGGTAACATCGTTTCCGGAATACCTAAGATTTTGAGTGAGATTGAGAGGATCCACGGGCAGTTTCCAGGACACCTGAGATTGTGAGTGAGATTGAGAGGTCCTACGGGTAGCTGTACACGTCATCGTTGGAGCCACACGCAAGTGTGAGTAAAGATCCAAGAGCAAGTCCTATCCGGCACTATTCACATGATATCCCGAACGTCAGTCTGAGCGAGATTAGAATGGAAATAGGCTTAAATATGAAATCCACAGTAGAATCGCAGCAGTAACCGACACACGGATACCCATTGGATTAGTGGAATTTCGAAGAACCGACAACCGATGGGGGAAAAGGTTCTCGAGTGGTAGCCTCGTAGCAATATGCGAAGTGTAGGGCGCCCCCTCCCCCCACTAGATGGAGTAATGACCTGGTAAGAAATCAATGGATACAAGTGGCTCAGGACCGTGTTATGTGGTATTCCTTGGGGAGGCCTATCTTCAGGAGTGGACTTGTGAAGGACTGTAATGATAATGATGATTTTGATTTATATGTTTTATCTTGTAGGTACATATTTGATAAGGTTCAGTTTCTTTATATCCTCATAAAGAATCCCATGAAACATAATACGAGGGGTGATTCAAAAGTAATAATAGTGAACATTAAACACGGTGATTATAGTTAAAAAAAAATTATTTTTCTACAAGTCTCCTAACAATTAATGCATTTAGTTCATCTTTTTTTCTAAACCCAGAATTCACTAAAAGAAAAAACTCTTTATCTTGAAGCTCCAAAAAAGCCTCAGTAGCGTCCATCACTTCGCTATAATCAGCAAATTTCTCTTTTTGCCTCGAAGGTGTTCCTTGAGCCGAGGAAATAAATAGAAGTCATCGGTAGCTAGATCTAGCGAAGAGGGCGAGTGTTTGAGAAGTTCAAATCCCGTTTCTTGAATGGCAGCAATCGTAACTATAACTTTGTGTACCGGAGCGTTGTTTTGGTGCAACAGCATTCCAGCTCGCAGTTTGCCGCGTCTATTTTCCTCAATAGCCTCCCGCAATCGTCGTATTTGGCCTGCATAGTGTGAGTCCGAAATAGTGGCTTCATTTTCCAAATAAACAACCATAATTATTTCTTCAGCGTCACAAAAAACGGACGCCATAACCTTTCCCAACGAACTTGGCACTTTGAATTTATTTGGCGTCGGTGAGTTGGCTCGTTTCCAAAACATTGTTTTGTTTGGTTTCAGGATGAAAATTGTGGATCCAGGTCTCATCCATGACCACGAAACGTGACAAAAAATTTCCTGATCCTTTCGAGATTCATTCACCCTTGAAATGTCGACTCGTTTTTTCTTTTGCTCGTCGGTTAACATTTTCGGTACCCAACGCACAAAGACCTTTTTCATATGCAATTCGTTCGCAAACATTATTTAAACACTGCCATATGAGACGCCTGTGACCTCAGCTATATATTTGATGGTCCAATCTTATTCTCTTTGATCTGCCAACACGACATCTTCTACTTTTTTCACGTTATTTTCGTGGATGGGCGTCATTCGAGATATTCATCTTCCGTAGATGTTCTGACCAGCTTAAACTCCTTTCCTCAGCTTGAAACTGCGGAATATGGAGGAGCAGAGTCCCTCAATGTTTCTAATAAGTCGCTGAGTACGTCTTTGGTTGAAATTTTTTTAAACAGTGGTTTAAACTTGATGACAGCTCTAATTTCGTGTTTCTCCATTTTGATGTTATCTCTTCGGTACTTCCCGGAAATCATAGCATATTTATATGATTTTTATGCTGATCTCGTGGGTACATAAGCAAAACAAAAATATTGGATTTTTATGTGTACTGGAAATAACCGAATATCATTACTTTTGGATCACCCCTCGTATATCTATATATCTAATACGTAACCACAACGTAATTACATAACTTCACTACTGGATAATTACTGTCATAATACCGCGAGCGTACAGAGATCCTATTAGCTTAACTAGTACTTAATCTAGAACGGAAAATAGGTTTACAGCAAAAGGTACCAGAAAGTTTCGAGGGAAACATTGTTTATAACTGTTATTACTGGGAAAATGAAGCTTTTTAACGATAATCAAACGTAGTTTGTCATTAATAAACGATCTCTACAAAAATATAGCTCTATTTTACTTCCCCTTTGTGTTAATTATGTCACTAGCAATATGGTTAATCAATTAAGATATAAATATAAGTATATGAAGATTTCCGAAAGGTTAGTAACCCAAAAATGCGAATACTTTGTTATAGACTGGCCCCAAAATGTCTTACACAACAAAGGCTTTTTGTTTTTTAATTTGGTGGTGACATATCACACCAAGCTTTTTTTTCTTCAAAAAACCCTTTTTTTCAAAAAAATATTGAGTTACCTTCAAAGAGCAAACCTTTTCCAGTATCACAATTAAATTTTAGCCTTACCTCTAATTCGTCAGAGTCCTCATTTTCATCATTTTCGCCATCCGATGATTCTCTTTCTTGCGTCTGATGATCGTTCTCTTCATCTTTTGTGACTTCTGGTGGTGACTGAGTTTCAACAGGCTGTATAAAAAGAAAATATATAAGCGAATTAATTTAGTATATAGGAATTTATTTGTTTTGGACGAGGTCATCTCGGGACCTATCCGTCGGGAGGCACAATTGAGGTCATGGAGCAACTAGGCGACCGTCTAGTGGACGGAGTGACGCTCTGGTAAGACATGCAGGAAGTCGATGGATGCAAGTGGCTCAGGAACATACTTTCTGGCATTCCTTAGGGGAGGCCTATGTATAGCAGTGGACTTGTGAAGGGCTGTGATGATGATGATGATGATGATAGGTTATTGATTGAGGGCTTAAATCACAGGTCTTAGATTTAACATTCAATCACCTTAGATCAAACCAAATTTTTATTTATATTAACCTACTTATTAATTACACACGCCAGCACCTATCTAAATGGCATTTGAGTTATTTTTTAAATTTCGGGTCAATGCAAAATCATTATAAACTTTGCAAATTGTATTAATTGTTACAAATAAAGCTCTTACGTTCGTGGGAAAATACCTATAAATTATATTATGCAGTAATGGCACGTCCAGCAATGACCTCAAGAAGGATAATACATATTATAGCTATAATAAAATGACCACATAATATATAGTTTTTCTCTTCATTTACTCTTTCAAAATATAAATGAAAAGAATGTTATTTCTTTTCATTAAATCGTAAATGCCAGAATTATTGTGATAAGGAATTTGAAAACACATTCTTTTACTTGTTACAAATTAATAAATGTCTATATCTGATATTCGTTACATTATTAGAGTTAAGTAAAAACTTGTACAAAGCGAGATCTGTTCGTACTAGTTTGAACTAGAGCCAATGTTAATCTAATACGGCAGACATACAGAATGAAATGGTAAGGGTATTTTCCTTGCATGACAGCAGAATTCTTATATAATGTACATATATATATACATTAGTGTAAGATATTTAATATATATTCCACCCGAAAGCCAATCATTTTGTCCGTTACAAATCATATACATAGCAATAACACCAATCTCTGCCTTAATAACAAGTCTTTGCCAATGTCAGCAGAACATGTTGCTTTCTGTGGTGACGATTAAAAAGAACCTATATCCTACTTCTATCCGGAAACTCCTCAGTTGATCGCAAGCTCAGAAATTCGAGAGAATTTCCCATTCCGACTACCATCGGGAATTACTCCTAACACAAGCTTACTTAGAGTGGTTAAGTTCTAAACATTAAGAAGGGAAGCATGTAATACAATTAACTTTGTTTTATTTTTGTGCCAAATATTGTGCTAACCTAATAAACAAACAACTACCAAGAATAAATATTTTTACAAAATTCCAAAGAGACAGTAAAGAGAGATTGGACGGTCGTCACTGCAAGTGATGTCTCACATCATTGATCGCTCGTTTTATCTCTTTATCATAGTTGCGATAAGAATACTCACTTCGAGTGTTTCTGTGGTAGGCGTAACTTCGAGTGGCGATGTGACCATTCCGTTCGTGGTAGGAGCTTCATGTGTAGCAGATTGCTGATTCTGTTCGGGCGATCGTCCCGCGAGCAACTTGTGGGCTTTAAGTTTCAGCTCTTTCGGGTGAGGCGTGTTTTGTCGCACAAATGGAGTCTGGGAAAATAAGATATAATTAATTTTTGATGTACAAGGAAACAGAAATTCTATATAATTAAATTACATGCACATGCGTTTCTAAATTGTAATGCGAAAAGAAATGAACTATAAACGAAAATGAAATATTTCAAGTAAGGAAAATGCACATGATGTAGTCTGGTTTCAAAGACAATTTTCTTCTTCCGACTAATGTCCATTATTGTAACCATTTAAAGTATATTTGGTACCTACTTTAAAAGTTTGATCAAACAGTAACCACAAACGTAATTTATGAGCAGTGATACTAAACTAATTCTGAGGAAGGGTTTCGTGCATTTTTTTTAAATTTATGATTATAAAAATATTTCTTGAAATAATTTAAGCATCCTTTAATTAGATACGTTCGTATAATACTTGATTTTAGTTTATTGGGAAGACCAACAACTAAAACAGATAATACTAATAGTTACTGTAAGCCAATTAAAGATCCCCAGTAGTAGATAGCAAGTCGAGTTATAACAGTGATAAACGCGATACAACTCTAAAGTATGTAATGCTAACAGTATTAAAAATTAGGATTTAACTGATATACTCTTTATTATTCATGTCATGATTCTATTTATTATAACTTCTATGGACATTATTACCGTCATAATGAAAGGATGTTTATACAAAAAAAGACTTAAAAAGCGAGACGTAGAAACTATTATTACTTAGTGTTTATGACATAAAAATAAATATTCTAGCTTTGTTTTCTTAATAAATTTAAATGAATGAAGATTATTATATATTTAATATAAAAGCTTCTATAAATGAATTATCATCTGAAGACAATAACAAACAATATTTTATTACTTATAATATTTAACTTAAATAAGAAAAAAAGAGCAAAACTTTTAAACTAGCCCAGTAGACAAGGTAATAAGCAATTTACAAAGTATTTTTAACACTAAAGATTCAGAGCCGTTAAGGAACCCTATCAATGTCATACTCGAAAAATAATTCTAATTAAGCCAATTAAACGTAATATGTTATAATGTAGAGGCGTAATGATTCACAGGATATGATATCACACGCAAGCTCACCTCCGTAGAGCGACGACGCGACGTGTGCTGATAGTCAACTAATCTACTGTAAGTGCAGTTCAAACAGTGATGTGTGCTCTTAAATATTTCTAGAATGTGCAATAATAAACTAAAAATACAGCTTAAAATTATCCACTTACGCAATCAAAAATAAAATACAAAAAATTATAAACGGACTATAGAAAACTATGTGAAAATATTAGATATATATTAACCACAGTGATGGCAGTTTTTAAGGCAAACGATACAAAAGCAAAGCAGTATAAACTGTTGTAATATTTTAGTGTTTTGCATTTTCATTTATACTATTAAATGTAATTACTACAACTACTTATAACTACTAGAATTCGCTCCTACTTCTAGGAAATACTTTTATGCAACTGGACATACTTTTATCCAGCTCCAAATGCAACTGGATAAAAGCATTTCCTATGTAAATAAAGTGTTGTTCTGCAAAGGTGTGATTAAAATGAACAACGGCTTCAGTAATTAAACGTAACAGTTTCAATCATTACTCATTCACAAGCATTAATACTACATTAAATTAACTTCATCGTCTTGAACATATTATCTGGAATGTTAAAATGTGATTTTCTTCGTATTATATAATAAATAACATATTGAAAATATTGTGTGTGAACCTTTCCAGATATTTTTCAAAATATCAATATCACCGGCACGCGCTGAACTCTACTGCTTTATAATAATTTTGTACGAGGCTGGTCGCTACCAACTGTCGGTGAAAATTTATTCGAAAAACTCGTAACCATGTAGGTTACGAGTTTTTCACCGGTGAGAGTTTATCGATTCCACGCACGAGCTCGCCTGCTCAGCCTGGTGAGCATATATATGCAAACGTTTTAAGCCATGCTTTTTATACGTTACAGCCTGTTTAACGTCTACTGCTGAACATTGTTGATCTCTCCTATAAATTGCCTCGTAGGGGGATATTTGCCATAGTCTACCCGCTTGGCAGGCGGGTTGACAACCGCAGTACGCTTTTTGGAACCAGGAAGATGCTGCTGACAATTTGAAAACAATTGCAAAATTGTTATATTTAAAAGTATAAGCAAGTAATACAGAAAAAATAATGGCAAAAATTAATATATTTTAAGTACAATAAAAAATTTAATCCAAAATTTAAAGAAATATGACTAAGATCGCTTAAGTCTACTTTCAGCAACAACACAGCAGTTCCAAGGTATTGAAGATAACATTCAGGACCGAAGAGGCATGATTCGATAGAAGTGGTAAATTGGAGTGCATTCACAAGATTAGTTCGTATTAGGCTTATCTATGCATTATAAGTATGTTTAGCTAATGTTAATGATTTGACAATAATGTAACGGTAGGTACCTACTATTATACCAAAAAAAATCATAAAATTATGCACACAATTTGGCATACGTTACTGCACGCACGCATACATTCACTCACGCACAAACATAGATGTAAGTACGTATTATGCAGCAATGCTGGCTAATACCATAATATCGCACATGCACAGTAGCACATAAGCCCTTTACAACGTTCATAAAAAATAAGCAGACATATTGTAATTTAAAACTTAATATAACTCTTTACACAGTTGATGTAACAATGAACATAGCCGGTAAGATAACGAAATATAATATTGCGAATGCACCCCACATTCTTCCGTGTACCTCTGTGAGGTTCGTTATAGAGAAGGAGAGGCGTTGCAAGGAGTTTCTCCGTTGTGTTCCAACCAGTTTACGGACCGCGTTGAGCGGTCGTCGGAACCCTAGCATCGACTGCGGCATGAAGAAAGAATCCGAAGTTGTGGTATCTTCATTGTCCTCCGGAATCGATGGCACCTTGAAATTAAATTCAATCTGTCGAGGAAGCGATGTCCTTTGTGATACCGAAATTTAAAACAGCAGTAACCACAACTATGGAAAGTGAAAAAACAATGTAGTTTTATTTCATCTGTCCCAAAAATGTTTTAAAACAATGAAGTAAATTATAAGTAACAGATATTTCTCAATCTAAAAATCCTGTCAAAGTTATTTATGCATTAAAACGATAAAACTTTCAAAAGGTTTAAAGAAAAAATAATTTTAAATAAAGTAAAAGAGACCCGAATGACATGACATCGTCGTATTAAAATATTATTTTTAGCAGTGTTAGAATCTTTGAATTATTTTAAAGAGCAAGAAAGGTTCAAGCTCAATGGTTTAACTTTAATTATAACTGATTTATGGGCGTGTGAAGTTAAAGTTGATATATGTATATAAATTTAAAAGATATACTACTTTAATCAGATTTATACATTATTATAGTACATTATGAAATTTTACTGCACTATACGAAATATACTCGTACAAAATAAAGGGCCAATTATAGTACTTATAGACAATCTCTCTTAAAACTGTCCAATATTTTGAATAAAATTATAATTCACATAAATGGTATGTATCTACACAGGCTGCACTAAAAGTATCGGGAATGGAATATTTCCACTGTTCCTGTCATATTAAAATCTTTTTAATTGAAGACTCCTTGGTTTTAAAAATCGAATACCATTTATTTATTTAAAAAAAGATTCTCGGTCTTGTCACAGGGTTTTGTCAAACTTGTTTAGTCGTTGAGAAAATGGAATTGACTCGAGAAAATTCAAGAGCGATGTTTTATTATGACTTTCGAAGTGGTTTAAAACAAAAACACTGTGTTGACCTTGTTGGATGATTTCTGCATTTGGTGATGAAGCCCCATCCAAAACCACAATTTATCGCTGGTTTGCTAACACAAGCTCAGTGATGATCCCCGTCAAGGTCGTCCAAAAACTGCAGACACCCAAGAAAACGTTGATGCTGTGCGTAAGCTGATTGAGGAAGATCGACATGTGACATACCGCGAAATTCAGACATCTTTATATATTGGCATGAGTCAAATACAAATAATCTTGCATGAACAATTAGGTGTAAAAAAGTTGCTTTTTAAACCTAATTGATAATGGATACCGCATTCGCTCTGTGAAGAGAAAAAGCGGCTCGCGTTACTTGGTGCGTCAGAACTCTCGTAGGATTCCACGCAGGATCCTCAAATGCTGTATACAACATCGTATCAGGTGACGAATCCTGGATATATACGTACGAACCCGAAACAAAAACCAGTCACGAGTTTGGGTGTTTGGAAATGAATTAAAGCCAAAAAAAATTGTTCGTTCACGGAGTGATGAAAAAAATGGTGGCCACGTTTGTCTCCAAAACCGGCCATGTTACGACTATTTCTCTTGAGAGATAAAGAACTATTAATGCAGAATGGTATGCTAGCATTTGTTTGCCACAGGTCGTTTCTGAACTCCGTAAAGAGAACTGCAACGGCCGCATCATCCTCCATCACGACAATGCGAGTTCTCACACCGCACACAGAACAAAAGAGTTTTTAGAGCAAGAAAACATAGAATTATTAGACCATCCGCCGTACAGCCCTGACCTAAGCCCTAATGATTTCTATACTTTCCCTAAAATAAAGAATAAATTGCGTGGACAAAGATTTTCATCACCTGAAGAAGCTGTGGACCCCTACAAAACGGCCATTTTGGAGAACCCAACTTCCGAATGAATTGGTTGCTTCAATGATTGGTTCCATCGTATGGAAAAATGTGTCAAATTTCGCGGAGAATACTTAGAAAAGCAATAAATACATTTTTAAATAGTAATGTTGTGTCACTTCCTTGATTCCCGAAATTTTCAGTGGCGCCCTCGTATAACCATTTTTACATATCATTTCAAACTAAATAAATAAATGACAAAAAAACTCACCTAAAACGAAAGCTTCGCATTTATTTATATAATCTTAATATTAGAAATCCAATGTACTATAGTCAACCAAATCTAAGAAATACCTTTTGACGTTACACATTAACCATTTCGCAACAACTTTGCACAAGTGTACTCACACGTTTTAAAA